CCGTGTGTCACAGGTTTGTATCCTTCAGTTGTATTTTGTGGAAGTACAGTGTATCACAGGTTTGTATCCTTCAGCGACATTTTGTGGAAATTCAGTGTGTCACAGGTTTGTATCCTTCAGTGACATTTTGTGGAAGTACAGTGTGTCGCAGGTTTGTATCCTTTAGTCACAGATTGTTGCAATAGTGTGTGTGTGTGTATGACTGTTTATATTCCTCAGTTTAACCACAGTATTGAAGTATTTTATTCAGAGACGTATATATATAAATTTTTTCTTTCTTTTAGATTGAGTTGCTTACAGAAACTTGGGGAATGAAACCAGAGAATGTCATTAACATCCTACAGGTATCTGGTTAATCTTAGAACACCAAATATTGATTCGATTTTGTACAGGTTCCATGATACTTAATTATGCTAATAACCTGTGGTCTGCTTGTTTAATAATTAATAGACTTATGAATTGTAACTTGTGGAATAATTTTAAAATCTACTCTTGTGTTGCTTTATTAGAAAGAGCTTGAAATAGTTTATCTAAAATTTAACATTTACTCACCTTCGGTTTAAACCATAAAAATTATAATTTTTCCACTACTTCTTTTCAAAATATTCACATGCATGTATTCAATCCGTTTATAAAAAAAAACTGTTTCTTTTTTAGAGCATGAAAGAAGAATCATCTAACAACCAACCACTGAAACAGGACTTTACAACGGAAGAAACTGTGAGTCGTTTAAAGACACCACTTGGTAGAATCCAGAGGTGCGTTCGCTGTAAAGTTTGTACCATCTTGTTTACACTTCTGGTGTTAACTAACCATTGAAAGTTACAGTTACAGTTTGTACTGATAGTAGAAAGCTTACGTGTCACGTGACTATGATGTTCTTGGTTTATAGTTTATATAAAAGAATAATGTATTTATTAGTTTGCATTATTTGGAACCCAACTTGTTTTTTTCTCCAATTCGTAGATGGTTCTTGAAATATCTTCTACCAAAATGCCACGCTGCTGTTGGTAATAGAGAGAAAAGTAAGGTAAATAATGGACTTATCTGAAAATTGTTATGATAGTAAGAGATGACTTAGCTGTAACACGTGTTATGTCTTGAC